CGGCGCGGCGCGGCACCAGAATTCCAAATCCGGACATAGTTCAAACGTTGTCGGGTGAATGATCCTTCGTCAACAGTCATGCCGTGAACCGAACATGGATGGTGGCTGTTTGAGGGCACAGACTGATATGGGTCAGATCCTCTGGGACTGATTGTGTCGTCTAGAAACGCTAGAAGCCGTCTGCCAAAGTCAACATCTGACTCTTCTGAGCTCAATGCCTATTTTGTAACTTCATTTACGTTAGAACCACTCTCAACCCAGACCAGCATATGGCAGTGGATTGTAGCTCAACCCTGAGCTTCAACCTACCCATAGTATTCTTTAACAAGAATTCCGCTTTGCCGTTCTGTATTTTGTTCAGTATCATAGCTCAGAAGCGCTGAAATGAAGGTGTGCAGCAACGACAGGGCTTTTGGCAATAAGCACAAATTGGTCCTCACAGAGATAACCCATGTGAAAATTGTATCATGGGTAAATCTGCATGAAATACAGAGACACGGGAGTGGTTCAAACCTGATGTCCGAGAAACATATCATGCAAAAGATTTAAAGATATCATTGTAATCATGGGTATAACAGATGGCATAGAACCGGATGTTGGACAGTGGAAAGCCAGGGGCTCATCGCAAATGCAGCTAAATCCAGGATCTGGTACAAATATGAGTTTTCAGTATGGCAGACAATGGCCAAGAACTTACGCAGTGAGGGAACAGTTACCGAGATTTGGGCACCGGTAGTGGTTTTCGGGGCCATGTTGGCCTAATAAGAAGATGGCGCTGTGACGCAAATTGAGGATAATGGAGATTTAATTTCATCGAAATACGCACCTGTTGGCCGCTGATCAGGGCAAAAAGATGGCCGAAAAGAGGTGAAACGAAGCATGCATGTGGCAGGGTCTCACGGAAGAAAAGTAGCCAATCACGGCCCAGAACCAGATCATAGGCAAGACTAGCGATTACAGAGAGCTTGACATTTATGGAGTTCACGCCATTGTCAGATGGAAGGGTAAGCACACCAGAGACTAGCGACTGAAGTGCCAGAATTCCAGAAGTCAATTTCCAGTTCAGAGAGACCAGAGAACACTTGGGGAGGGTTGACAGAGGTTGAGTGGTGGACGGAAGTACAACATTCAGGTACGACATCCAGGTACACGCAGGAACATTCCATATGACATGGAAACAGCGGAAATGTTAGGAACTGGCTTACAAGAAACGTACTAACTGCAAGCCGACACATTTTGGCAGAGAGAAAAGGTGATTACGCAAAACATGCCGAGTCCTGACGAAAATGTGAAGCATGGCCAAAATTGAAAAATCAGGCTCTCTAGGACCATACGAATACGAATACACCAGAATATGAGTATGATCTGATACAAATATAATACGATACGGGTCCAACTGTATTCAAATTCCCGCTACTATTTTTGATCCCTTACCGGGCCACCTAAGCATTCACGCCTCAGCTTCAATCTGTACGCTGATTCAATGTGAGCCCGAGTATCTTAGAAGGAAGGCAGGTATTCTATGAAGAGTTTTACCCTATCCCCACACAAATATTACAATTACAGCGAATTTCTTTCGGGCGGTGGTTCAACATGGCCAAATAACAGGCTCGTCGACCACCCGGCCAAATCAAGCTGCGACGCTTGAAATCGGGGCCCGGATCGACCGAGAATTGTACCTAGGGTGTATTGGCACTATTTGAGCAAATACTCTTCCACATGCAACCCATATGAGGTGTGTAGATGACTTCTTCTCAGATGGGGGTAAGACCCCAAAACGAGGTCCTCGAACAATAGCGCGTCTACTGGAAGATGAGACCTTGCTGTGGTCAAAATTAAGATTCACATAGCTTAAGAGGAAGGTCTACAACATATTGGTTCCATACCTTCATATCAAGTGCTCACAGCTCCCCCAAAACATCCGAGTGTTGTCAGCATCAAAATTGGGTGATATGCAGCAAAAAACTGCAGTGAAAGCGGAGCTGAATACCTTTGATATTGAGGCATTAAACACCAAAAGATCTCATGCACAGTTCCAGATCGGTAGCCCCACGGTGTCGGGATACAACGTCGGCCAGTGTGAGCGACTCCAAACAAAAAGCAGCGGCACCTTCATGGGAGCATAGCGGGGAGGGTTGTGACTTATTAGCGGCGTGTATGGTGGCAGACAAATATTCTGAATCAGGGAAGTAGAATGAGCCCACAAAGTCCCGGAACGGCGAAAAACTGGTTGAAAACCAGCTGAGTCGAGAAGGTCAAGCCGTGTAGGCGCAAGGAATATCACATCAGCAAACCCTGATTCCGTCATAGTGCCGCATAGTGCCCATATGTAGCACGGGTCCTTTGTTACGTAGCGCTCCATGGTGCTATGTAGTACTATTGACACTAACTGGGAAATCAGGTTTGCTGATGGCCCACCTTGGTGGTAAATGAGAATGGTCTGTTTCACCCCGTTTGCAATATTAATACTCACTGCGTTCCGACCCCTTGCATACAGAGGATCTGTCTACCCCCATAGACGAACAGTAGACAGACCCCTTCGTCTACCTGTGTCTACATCATGTAGACACGGTTCGTCTATATATGTCTACATTTGTCTATGTCGGTCCCCGTACGTAGACCGCCATAGACTGGTCTAGATGCACGTAGACAGATGTAGATGTGTGAAAGTCCGGAGCTACTAAATTTAGTACTTGCAAATAAATCAGTGAGATGCCAAAGGATGGCCATAAATTCACCAGTAGAACAGCGCAAGGGGGTCCCACATTTGAAGTCGAGTGATATATGTCTACGTGCGTCTACAGTGTGGACACGTGTCTACGCCGCGTAGTCTCGCGTAGTCCGACGTCGCCATACGTACACTAACGTTACTTACGGCCTAGACATGCTTCACCGGACGTAGCGCGTAATTCGGCTCATCAGGGTGTCCTGCGATCCAAGCGGCAAACGTTAACACGTTCTGCGCACATATCGGAGTGATGCACTAGCACTAGTTTTGTGTGCTGGGTGTACTTAGGGTGTTGGGCGTCCGTGACGTCGCCCATCCACTAGAGCACTTGATTCGGATTTTGGGCCGCTTCCATATAAGTAAACCCACTGCTGGATAGAAGGATAAACCAGGACCGACCCATGAAATAAATAAAAATAAAAATCTCTTTGTCGGCTCTGATTCTTTTTGAGGGGAGGGTGCATTACTCTTACTCGGCCATCACCGCAAAGACTCCAGAAGCACGGATTTGGTAGGACATCAATGCTGTGTTATCTAACCTCTGTTGTGCCCCGTCCGAAGGCGCCGCGGCGCGGCGGTACCGTCCAAAGGCGCCCGGCGTCATGCTCATTCGCCACGTTTTGGCGCCAACATTCGGCTTGGCATTATCCTACGTGCTCACTAGGATCGCTAGCTCAATTTCATTTCCTCTATGTATTGGATTTGTCCCCTGGCTTGTTCAGTCCATATTTTCACCTGTTGCATTCCGAAAGTCCTTCAGTGAGCTAAGGGGTGTGAGCAATCTCGGATTTTCCACCCAGTTTTGTTGCAACTGCACTAGTTCTTTTACCCCATGCCATTGTAATGACGATTTAAATCCGATTCTGATTTGATTGTGTTGCAGAATATTTCCTTGATATACGACCACAAATCTCGAATAAAACATTGAACATATAGGCTTCAACGTTAAAAATTAACACCGTAATGATTTGAGATATAACCGCGGCACCAGGCTAAGTCGCCGACTTGGACGCGTTTTGACGGAGCCCCAAAATTTAAAAACATATTTTCCACTGGCCAAATTTTTGGGGAATTGGGCGGGAAAGGATAGCGCCGGACGAGGCGATTTGAACAGTACAAAAATCCTGCAATTTGAGCAGTGGTTGTTGAGTCATGGGCCGCCGAAGACTTTGGGCAAAATGCCCCAAAGTCACGCTGTTCCAACTATTCTCATAACATTCGCAGTAAAAGAATGGAAATTTGTATCTTCTCCTCAATAAAACTGTTTGCGGGGCACATAGACATCTTCACGAGTGGTGCCCCGGGTCCCTCCGCGCTCTACTCGGGGAGCCGAATAGGCCACGGAATCAATCGCCCGATAGCTTACCGCCACTTCCTTGTCTATCATCCGCTTCTGTTGATGACCCGAGTAAGAGTAATGCACTCTGGACTCCTGATTTTTCTCGGGCTCGTCGCGGGGCTCCCGCTCGAGCGTAAGGTCAGGACTTCCTTCTGGGTTCTCGAGCTCCGCTTGACGTCTACGCAGTCCACGAGCAGCCCAGGCACAATGAAGGGATACTTGCAACTGCGCGATGAGGTGACTGCGGTGATGCGCCCATATCCTGCTGTACGACCCATTCTGAGGCTCCGATCTTTATATGATTATTTGACCAACCTCGGCAGTCGGGGGTGAATAACAACTCTGTGGCGCGCTAGTAGTACGCCTACACATCACATTGATCGCGTCATTCGCCGATGTTGCAGTGGAGTCCAGCTGTTCGAATCCGGCCCCTGTCATCATCTTTCCCAAGGGTATTTTTGTTCCGAGTTTCTTTTCCTTTCGAATTCGCTTTCAACTTTCGTGCACTCCCAAGTCTGAGATTATTCCACAAAGCCTGTGGACAATAAATATATGCAGTGGTTAAGAGGAAGGCGGCTGTTCGAATCAGGCCCGAGTCGTGCGCCTGTCGAACCTTTTTTTTCCTGTTTCTTCCGTTCATGTGCTATTTCTTGTCAAAGGGGCTTGCTAATCTGCACATCTGCTTTCAGTCACTCATCTGCCGCGCGATTGTGCTGACCTGCCCTCAATAATGAAAGTTGGAGGTTGTGTCTTCTTTTTTTCTCCCTCTTCCGAAAGTCCCTCAAAGTCCTCCAAATTCTGGAACGCCGAAACTCGGAGTCATGGAATGAATTGACATTTCACATCCCTGGCACACAACCTTCAAACGCATGCGCAGGCTGAAATTAAACTCGGGAGTCGAACGGATATCTAGAGACTGCGGTAGGTTTACAAGGCTCGGTGGTGCATGGTCCACATCTGCATTCTATATATGCGGATGGGCGAAGAAAGAACTGCTGCAGAACCGCCCGTTCGACTCGGGCCCGAGCCATGTGCATCTGGGGTCCTTTTTTCCCCTTCCCCTTTCCCTTCGGTCCTCCGGGACCTCAAACTTACTTTATATAAGTAGCATCCGTTGCGCCGAGGACGCGGTCGCCTAATTATTTTTCAGCGCAATCCATCTCACGCTACTAGTATGAAAATCGTTGAACACACGCTAATCCTCACGAACTTATTCACCGCAGAATCCAGGCGAGTATTGGTTTACATGGTAAAGAGAAAAGAAGGTGGGTATTCTGATGAATCCCCCCGAAAACTGATCTGGCTTTTATAGATGTTTTGGGAGAGAGGCTTTCTATGGCCATGGGCGGGATGATATCAGAGAGGGCGGATGCACATAAATGAGTGAGTTGGCGAAATTTGATCTCATGTGAATCTCGCAAACAAGGGCTGGAGGAGAGGAAACAGAACATTTTAAAAATAACTTTGCACACGACCGCGACCCGAAACACAACCACACGTGATCGATCCTGGTTTCGGCTCCGAGCATCTCCGATTCTCTCGTCCGAGTACGGTTGCCAACAAGTCCACGCTTTGATTTGTTTGGCGCAAATTCTGATTTGCGCTTTTCTCTTTCTTCTCCCTGCATCTATACCTCCAATATACCCTCGTAATGTCATTTGGACCTCGTCTGGAGGCCTACTACAGTGCCTACCACCCATAGGACACTAATCTGGACACGTTCAACCGGAGAACATAGGGCACCCAGTGGCAGGTCTACGTGCATCCAAGCTCCGAGTCTGGGACGTTACCTCAACACTGCCTACGCGTATTTATGCCTTTGAAGTGGATATGGGTTCTTTTGATGAGCTGGTTGGGATCGCAGGCGCGTGTTTTTTCATCTGTGCTGGATTTTGAATACTTATTGTTCGCGGAGACGGGGCCAGCTCTGCTGTGGGACGAGGGAGTAGGCTGCCCAGGTTCCCAACCCCTCCTACAATTTGCGTAGAACGCTCTACGTCCCGCCCACCGAGCAGCTGCGTTTTGCACGATACAGTCCTGCCTTACACTCAGAATGCTCTGTCTACCTCAACTTAATCACTATGATCTCGGTCTCCTTCATTCACATTCAAGACTGGCTTTGTGACCGTGCGCCCTTCGATTAGACGTGCCTCCATCGTGGCTTAGCGCAATTCGGGAGGTTCGGGCGGACCCGGGGACCCGCCGCGGGCGCCCTCGACAGTTTCAATGTCCGGCACGCGTGTAGAAGGTGGGAAGGTACATATAGGACGTTTACTGGACGTTTAATGTGTATACTAGCTACCATTGTGATAAACGACGCGTCAATGACTTGGAAAAAAGTCTGAATTTTTTTCCGGGTTTTCTAACCACTCCAAAAGCCCCATAATCCTCGCATAGCATTTCTGGTGTCTTGCAGAGCATCCAATAAGTGGTAGCAGTACAGAGCAGACGACAACTAGGCACAGAAAAGTAGAAATCAGAAGTCGCGCCAAATAAATCAAAGCGTGGACTTGTTGGCAACCGTATCCGAGTCATCGTCTTTGATTTCGCCCTTTCGCTGTGGTTGATCCTCTGGTCTTTGTGATCCCAGCATGATAGACGGCCCTTGGGCAAGGACGTGAACCACTCACCAATGTGATATCCAAGTTGATATCCGCCAGTGGTGACGGCTGCGGATTGGCATTGCCAGTAGCGCGGTCTCTTCTCCTAGGAGTCCTATACGCATATCTGTGCAGCCCGAATCGTTTGTCTCCTCTCCCGCTGGTTATACAGAACACTGTCATTCGTTCTTTCTCATCTCTCACTGGGGATTCAGATACAGCGTCGAGGGACATCATCGCCGCCGCCGACCAACCCCGACCCCAAATGCATAGAGGCGATCAAGACTGCGCCTGTTGGGTGGTATATTTCCCATTCCATCTCACTCCCGCTCCTTCTTCTTCCCGTCGCGCCTCCGTATTATATGGACGAAATGTTGATTATGCGTGTGCGCACAAAACAGCTTCCGCTGCAGCATCGAGGCCACGCACTTGAGGTATGCCCGAAGCCAATGTGTTTTCCATTGCCAGCCGGTGCGTGCTCCTTTCTTTCTCTTGCTCTTCAATCCTCCTTGATTCTTTTCACTTTTCTTCTTGATTGCCCACGCCCTGCGTTTCTACCTCTACATTCTGTGCTCGCCCCGTCCGTTACTTTTTCACTCTTGTGCCTCTTCTTCACGGCCGCCCTTGCCGCTGCGTGTGCGTGCACCCGCCTCTTCCCTTCCCTAGCTTCGAACCTATTGAATCTTCTCCATCTCATTCCTCCATGTCCATATTCCCTTTCGAGACCACTTTCGACCGCTTTCCCCTCTGGCTCCTTCCTTCCATCTATCCTACTCTACTCTTCCACTCCTTCCACTCTTCCCATCTCCTCTCTACGTAGTCGCTCACCCTCCCCTCCCTTCTCCACACAAGGCCACCTCCGCGCGACCCAATAACCGCTACCGTCCCGGATGGGTACACCGGTGCCCAAAGTCGTTACTGCTGCTGGGCAGCCCGTGGCTACGGCTGCTGCATGAGCGGTATAAAAGAGACGACGTGCATGCGTGCGCGTTCCGGTTGCCTCGCACGGACACGGCCTATTCGCATCTACATCCAATAGAATATCCCTTTGATCTTGGCGTGTTCCATGCGTTGAGTTCCGCGTCGCCCCCGTCGTGTTCCATGGTGTCGCTGTGCTCCCGGCGCGCCCTCGTCCTTTCTTTCTTTACTTTTCGCGCTCGTTTCCTGCGACGTGGTTTGTCTTTCCATGCAATGCTGCTTCTGAGGTCGAGTCTTCAGTCTTCCGTCTTTACTTGTTTTCTCCAATTCTAGGTGTCTATTTCTCCCGCATTTCCCAGCGGTTTATGTTTGTCGCGCCGAGTCCACGGCCGGTGGACGACTCAACCGTATACACACCGATGCGCCGATTGTCATGTACTCTGCCTCAAACGAAGTGCGCTATCTATCGACTCGGTGGTGGGTGGGCCGCATCCACAAAGCTTATTATATCCCCGGAAGTCGCGGTGGAAGATCGCCTGTTCGAATCAGGTCAGAGCCATAACCCTCGGATCTCGACATTTTTTTTTCTTCTTGTCATCTCCTTCCCTCCTGTGCTTTTCTAGCTTTTATATTTCGCTCTTAGACTGTGCTGCTCGGCCTTGCTCGAGGGTCCTTGTGGTTCCAACAAACACGGTCGTCTTTCTGTGGGGGAACAGAACCTCTGCATGCCAATTTCACTCTGGTTTATCCAAGGCAGATTCATGTTCAAGAACGACTCGGTGGCGGACGGTCCGCATCCACAACGCTTAGGGTTTAACCATAGCATATGCTACTTGTGGTGGAAGTCGCCTGTTCGAATCGGGCTCGAGTCCTTTCCCCTCCCGCCGTTTTTTTTTTTATGCTTCCATTCCCTACAGTCTTGTCGCTTCCCTATCTGCGACTTAGAGCTTTGCAGCATTTGCATGTGCGCCGGATTACGAAAGCAAGCGGCAGGCCATGCCAATAAAACTTATGTCGCGTAGGTTCGTGACTCACCCCGCTCTTTGACGCCAGCTCATGCCTGTATTTTCAGATTCAAATCAAGTGGGATGCGGAGTCGGTGCGGGGTGGGTCGCACCCGATGAGTTTATATAAGAAGTTACCGAACTTTTACTCGGAAGGCCATCTGGGCTGAGTCCGTGATCGTATTCCAAGCAATTTTTTTTTATCGTTCCACCTCAAGTGGACCGCATCCACCAAGTATCATGCAGATACTGAGTGGTTCAGTGGAAGATCCCTGTTTGAACCAGGCTCGATTTAATTCACAAACAATTTAGTGCCAATCTCTTTTTCTCAGTTGTTGCGTCCCAGAAGGTGCATTGACTCCTCCACCAGATGGGCCGAATTCCCTCTCTGTCGCTCGTGCACATCCTTGCCCGCACTGGCCAGCTTTTCATCAATGTGCTTAACCTGCTTGCCCTGAGATGACCATTCAAATAATGGCCTCGCTCCTTCCCAAAGTTCCATCGCCTTTAGCAGTTCACCTTGCCCTTGGGAAATGTCTCCAAGCCCTAGCAGCATGCATTCCGCCCGGCTTCGATGGATATCCATGAATGCGAATCCCAACTGTCAATAAGGTGGCTGTATCTCGACTTGAGTCGACTCTATGAAGTCGACTTGGGAGGGCCGAGTCGGGAGTCGCGGCAACACTATCCACAACTTTCAGCCAATCATAGCACTTGAAACCTGAAAATTTAAAACTGCCAACATGCTCTTTTCTATTCTGTTTCTCATTCTGCGCCTGTCTTGTAGCTTGTGACGGGAACTAGATTTTTTTGGGCTGCACCTTCACGTGCCGCATGCATTGACTTACAATGTTATCCCTTTGAAACAATTCGCTCTTTTGCTCGAACCAATTTCTTCAGCTCAGGATGAAACGGTACATCGTCGCGCTATCCCCACTGCCCCCGCACCTCCCAACGATGATCACAAGTTCTGGTAAGAAGCTCAGTCCTTCTCCTTCTTCATCCTCTCCACTGAATTTGAATGCTACCAAAAAGTGGGTGCTGTTTAATGAAAGATCTGCCTGCAATGGACTCCCTCTCACTGGCATCGCCGTATCTTTTTGCTATATGCACATAAAATCAAGCCTAGTCGACCGGAATACCTGTGAAAGATTGTGAGCTCAGTCATGAGCAAAAAGGGGAGACCAACGAAGTTTATTGCTTGTGATAATGTCCACCAGCATCTTACGTTCCACCTCTTGCACTTGCCCCAAAGGGAAAAGGTCCGGCAGTCTCTCAATAGCACTCTCCACTTGAGTTCGGATTGGAGATGAGATGTAGGCAATAAATGCCAATTTGAAGCTAGCAGTGAAGGTGAGCCTCTGCGCAAACCCTTGACTAAAGGTTTGCTCGGTGCAGATGCAAACCGCTGGAGAGGTCAATAGCACAATCTCGATGTCGGGTGATTCATACCAGCGATGACTGCACTCGCTCCGTTGTGGGTACGGAAATGTTTTGTCTGTGAATAT